GACTTTAAAGCACTTTTTGCCACACACCACCACTCTGTGAAACCAGCTGCCCACTGATAATACCAGTTCGTCTTAGGGTGCTTTTAAGAAAAAATATATTTTCTGAAAAGGCCTGCAACGCACTTCCGAGCCCTCTGGCAATGTCAGTGTCTATGGGCGGCAGTAGCACTAAACATCAGGTGAGCCTCCTGCCCGATTGTTACATAAAAAAGCCAAACGGAGCGGCTTAAAATGAACGTACACTGGTCAGGTCGTCGTAAATCTTTTTTAATAATGAAATTAATTATGATTCCCTTCACCATAACAAGCGTTAAATGGACACAGATAGAAAAACCTATGGAGCATATTTTATAGTGAGTGACAGTACTCACTGGACTTCATGGTTGAAATTGCATAAAGTTAAATTGTTATGTATTTGTAATACTTTATTCATTAAGAAAAATACATTTGGGCTGCAGGTGGTCGAAATAAGGCCAGTTGACATTGACTGAAAAGTTAGTACGGCACTAATTAAATTAGTCCCGCACGAACAGTACTAATTAGACAAGCAAGTTTTCATTCGTCAACACATCTGCATTATTCGATAGTAAAACGAAAAATGATGACGTGTTTTCTCCTACTGATCTAGTCCAATCACAGACGAAGAGACCCGTCCAACAGATGCTGAAACAAAATACGAAACGACGGCGCGTTTCGTTTGATTGTGATTGGTCAACAGTATTCCTAGTGATAATATTACGTCCGATGTTTTCTTAATTTCGATTCTCACTCCGTATCCTATGCATTTGATATCGCTAATTTATATGAGAAATATCAGAAAATATAGTATGCAAGTCAGAGCCATTACCGCTGACGTATCGCCAACAAGGTTAAATACATATCCGGAAACCCACATGACATTTTACTTTTCGTATTACCTTTGATGTCTTAGATATTTTTATAGTATTTTTCCGTAATCTGTGGACTTCTACGGAGTAGGTACAGTCGTCGTCGACGTTTAAACAAACTTATTAAAAATAAATCAGTGGCGGTACAACCTTTTTAGGCATCTCAGATTTATGTATCTGTTTCATGATAATTTGTCAATCAAATAGGCAAGTAGGTGATCAGCCTCCTGTGCCTGGCACACGCCGTCGACTGGCTGCTGGAACCAGTTTTAAAGAACTTTATTTCTCATTACAAAAAAGAATGTATTTTATTTACATGAGAAACTAATATGTATATATATACGAACGAGATACCGTCCCAATTTTTGTCTACTAGGCTCATTCTGATCTTTAATACCCATATTTATTAAACTTGGTCCATTTAATGTGTTTTTTTTTTTATTAATCAGCCTACTTCGCCACCCGAAAAAAATATGTTGTAAACGATGTTCTATTTGGGTTTCAAAACTTTTTTTAAATTATTTACACAAAAGCAAGCTGAACACAAACTTAATTACACTTGGATAATATTCGCTAAAAATACTTTCAATACAAACGACAAAAAATGCGATGCAGCGATGCATTGAATTCGGATGTATTTGAAGCGGTAAACCTTGAAAATTATATTTTGAATGTCAAGACTAGGTTTTGCATACCTAAAATATATTAAAATTCAAAATTTTATTCACATAGAGCCTGTTAACCAAGCTGGCTTCAGCGTGCGATTTTCATCTTTGAGGTCGTAGAATCGAAACCCATGGACCAATGGACTTTCTGTCTGTATGCGCGATTAACATTCGCTCGAACGGTCAAGGAAAGCATCGTGAGGCAACCAGCTTGCTTTACCAAGAAGTCGACGGCAAGAAGGAAGTTCGTTGAATACGGCCAAGCTGAAAGAGTTGGTACTGGGGAGCTATCGCCTAGCGGTGAGAACAGTACTCTGAATGTGGGGCTGAATTTGCGCTTTATAGAGTTGCAAGCGGTGGCCCGGAGTAAAGAACCCTCTCGCCTTGCTGAGCACACCAAGCTCTTTGGAGGCTAATTTAGCCCTTCCTTTTGTTTTTAAGAAAGTGGTCAAAGAAAGGGCCACTGCAGGTGAAGCGTTTTTGAAGTAATACTCCTTTTGGCGCGTTATCGAAAAATGATGAGAGTAAATTTTTACGATGCGCACGCACACCGTCACAAAAAACCGACATCCTGAAGTTAGCTACAGTCAACATTTTAGTTTTTGAAGTAATACTTCTTTTGGCGCGTTAGGAAAAAGCTATGAGGGTAAATTTTTACGATGCGCGCGTCACAAAAAACCGACACATCGAAGTTAGCTATAGTCAACATTTTAGTTTTTTCTATTGTTAGTGTCGTTTTTTCAGAGGGCTCGCAAGTGCATCGCCGACCATTAAAAGAAAAAAGGCCGTTAGGCGAAGAAAGTGCGTTTTTATACCTTATATGTAAAATGCAAATTCTTGTCTCATTTAAATGCCATACATGCAGAATTTTCCCCGTTACCGAATAACTTTTTAAATAACAGAGCCACAGGTTATACAAACTTAAATTACGCTCAACAGAAAGGTTACCAACTGTTACATCGATTACCAGTTCACAACAAAAACAGGTTTTCCGTGTGCAGTGGTTTAGTATTACGAGATTTTTTTTCTTTATTGGACATTGTTCGACGAAACAGCTCCAAGTTTTAGTGCATTCCTCATGTTTAAAATTTAAACTCTGAGAAACCATAAAATTGTCATAATATCGACGCCTTACAGTTTTGACTAATATTAATAAAATTGTTTGATTTATTTACTTCGTAATCTTACAGCTAACATAAATTATATATAATAACAAACAATTACACTAAAAATATAGCCAAAGATGGAATATTTACAAAAAATAAAAAACAATAAAAAATAATTCAATACATTTAACTAATTTGGCTGTGTTGTCTGATTGTGTAAATGTGAGGGTACGTATGTGGGGTATGCAGTATGCTCATAACTCTTAATACTCCTAAAAAAGAATCCGCGATAGCTAAACAAATCAAGGCTAATATTATAATAAATATTGGTCGTTGTATGTCCGGGCTGCACGATACAAAATTTGCCTACAATATTACGCGATGGAATTAAGGCAGTTAATTTAGCAGTGAGTAGCTATGCCTAACATTCATAAAATGGTTGAGCAAATTTTAAATATATTACTTAAGTGACAACTAAGTACACACACATTGATATTACAAATGTAATAAACACTTGATGTTTTGAATTTTCCTGTTAAATACTGGTTTTCACAATAGACTCTTTAAAAGCTTAATGAAAAAAAATCGGTTGTCTGTAAAGTCGGTTTACTGACGATAGTTGAACGTGACAACGTCATAAAAAAATATTGATGGGATGGTTGCATTTTTCAAAAAAAAAAAATTAAATTTTATTTGTTTGATAGGTATTTTGTATGGATATAGAGAAGGAGGTAAATGGAAATCACAATTGAATTGATCAAGTTACATTTATTTGTACGCATAAATACAATTATGTCAATTTTAAATGGAACGCCTCAGAGCGAGGTAACGACTCAGAGCGAGGTAACGCCTCAGAGAGAGGGACGCCGAAACGCCTCCGCGCGAGGGGTAACGCCGCATGAGTCATGTTTTTTCGTGCGTGCAGCCGGCTCCATCGAATTATAAGACGTTGTCACGTCAAAAACGATATAAGGAGGAAATTAAATTTCTAAAATCTTAGCTTAGATTGTAATGAAGGAAGCAGCGAAAAAAAATATGTCTTATGTAGTTTTGCTTATCTAATTTAATTTTTCCTCAGTGTTTGCCGGGAAGAGATCGTTCGAAAGCCATTGCTCTCCATTTTAGTTAATTATTTTATGAGTACTGTAAAAAAGTGTGAATAAATAAGGCCCTCCCTAAAAGACTAGTTTTATTTATTTATTTTATTCCATATCACCTAATAATATAAGTTAACTGGTCTTTAGAAAATTATGATTCAAGCTTCTTGTACATATCAACAGCATTTAATTTACCCGTATATAACGAATACGTCACGCTCTACAAATACAATTTACACGTCACCACTTACTAACTCACCACTTTGCTTTACAATCTTTGGTCTATTTTCAAATATTTTCCCCTCTTCTGTATGTCAACGAGAATTTAAATGTATAATTTCTGTTTTCATATCAAATAAATGTTCCAAATATATATTGATTTTAAAATTAGCTAAATTTCAAATAATTTGAAAGTAGTTTATAATAGTCTATTTTCCCTATGCCATCTTTACAATACATTTAAAATATATTGTAAATTTTTACACATGTATGATTCTTAGTCGAGCATTAAGTAGAGTAATATTTATAGGACCGCGCAGATTATAGATAATAATATGGATAAGCTGTTATACGTATAAAATATATTTTAGAAGCTCTTATCTCCCGATAATATTTTTAGTTATATTAAACCAAAACCAAAATTATTGTATTGGAGTTAACTATTTATTTCAACTAGGGAAATGATAAAATTCGTGATTGATTAATTCTGATTTAATTCGAATTAGTTTTATTAAAAATTTATCAATAACAATCTGACAAATTAGCCGTTCTCTGGCTATTACAATTAAATAAATGATTATGGATGCAAATGTTGAAATAAAACATAATATTATTGTTTTGATAATCGCGTCCTTATCGTGTCAAATCGCGGTCGCCGGGACGACAGACATGACGTAAGTGTGGACTGCGCATGCGCCGCATTACAACTACTAAGTCCTTGAGGTTTCCCGTCAACATTCCACGCGTCATATTGTATTGTTCACAAAATAAATATTACGAACCAACCCGTACCAGTTATTACTTATTAGACAAACCTAACACAGAACCTGTTCTACTGTTTATTAGCGCTCGACTATTGAACCGTATGTATCTGTTTTTTTAAAACAGTTAACATCGGCTTCCTACAGACAGGACTAACGGTACACCGTACGTAAACAGCGCGTTTAGAGAAAGCGATGAGGATTTCAAGTCAGTGAAAGCCAGGGTTCCGTCCGCATCGCATCGAAGTAACGAATATAACCTCCAATGGCTTTGTACATCGCCACCGCGGTGATAACCGCCGCCGCCGCTATTTACTGGTACGTTAATAGGCATAAACCTATGAAACACATACTCAGTGAACTACGTTATGCTCTAGATATGCAAGGAGCAGGTGCTGGCGGATTAATCGACGATTGGGTCAGCGTCTGGCGAAACAAAATAACATTGCCAGATGCAAATAACAAGATTGCCGTTATAACTGGAGGCGCTCGCGGTATAGGAAGTGAAGTCGTTCGAGGAATGCTTAAAGCCAACATGATCGTAATAATGGGCGTGAGAAATACAGAGTCAGCGAAAAAACTTGCAAATTCAATGCAAAACGGAGATAAGTTACACGCTTTTCAACTGGATCTACAGTCATTGAATTCCGTTAAACATTTTGCTGAGAATGTTTTAAAGGAATTTCCTCAGATACATATACTAGTAAACAATGCAGGAATTATGTTCGGTGACTATAAATTAACTGAGGATGGCTTTGAAAACCAATTTGCTGTCAACCATTTAAGTCATTTTTATTTGACACATCTGCTGTTGCCAGCACTTAAACGGGCAGGGACGGTTGAGGAGCCGTCAAGAGTGGTTAATGTAACATCATGTGCACATTATCCAGGGAAAATATATTTTGATGACATTAATATGAAAGAACACTATGACACAACAGCTGCATATGCACAATCTAAATTAGCTCAGGTACTTATAATTAAGATACTTAATTATTTTCATAGTTTCTAATGTGACCATTATATTAACTGTATTGTTTCAGCTTATGACTGCCAGATATGTGAACAGTTTATTGGAGGACAAAGATGTCCCTGTAAAGTGCTATTCTGTACACCCGGGCATTGTTGATACAGACTTGTTTGAACACAGTAACTTTGGAAAGCTTCCGTGGGCCAGACGGCTATTTTTTAAAACACCAGAAAAAGGTGCTATATCAATACTGTTTACCTGCTTTGACAGACACATTATTAAGAAAGGAGGAATGTATATAAGTAACTGTAAAGAAGGATTTAGTAACCGTTTTTCAAAAAATGAAACGCACCAGAAAGCGTTATTTGATTTATCTTGTAACTTATTGGGAATTGAAGCCAATAAGTATGGAAAATAAATTTAAAAATACCTTAGGTTAGGTACCTTAGAATACCTTAGGTATTACAAAGATATTTAATACCTATTTATGGTTACTATAAATAATCTACTTAAAGACTGTATCCAATACTTTAATAATTATTCAATTTTTTTTAAATATAATGTTGAATAACACAGATGTGTATTTATTTTTTGTTATAAGATTTTAAATTTTAATACAATAAACAAAAATTGGTTTGCAAGAATAAAGTAAATGTAAGTTAATTATGAAAACTTAACAAAACTTTTGTTGCAAAATAATAAGTATTTTGTAAAATATTTATTTGTTTAATTAGAAACATGCATATTTAAAAAAACTTACCTGCTAAAGAATCCTGAAAGTCCCTTTTTCTTCAATTTAGCATGTTCTGAATTGGTCAAATCTGGAAGTTCGTCTTCTTTTGATCCACTTGAGCCAAGGGAGCATTCAGACAGGCTTGAAATAGTGCTTGAGAATGAACCACCATCTTTACCCCGCTTATGTCCACTTACACTTCCACCCCATTGAAGAGTACTCTTTGGGGAATCACTAGTATCACTCTTCTCACAAGTCGATATTGAGAAATTTCCTTCATCACTGAAGCTACTTTTTTTACTTAATTTATCAACATCCTCGTCAGCTATTGGTTTCTCAACCCTGGGGCTCACAAAATGTAGCTGTTTGGTAATAGGATTATAAGCAAGCTGGATATTATCTAAGGCTTCGTTCAAACGTATTCCATTCTTCGGACAAGGTGATGACATTGTTGATTAAAAATTCGTATCAAACAAAATCCATACTTCACAAAACCTCATCACTCAAACTGCTTTTTGAAAACATAATAATTAAATAATAAACGCGTTTATTTTATTCGGATCGCTTAATATGAAACACCTCACAATTAAAAACAACAAAGTGTAAATATTAATTTAGAAAGCTATAAATTCCTTATCGTTTGAAACACTAAACGATTTATTGGATTGAAGCCAGAAATATAATTTACACTTTACTACACTACAATTTAAATGTTAAAGAAAATAAATGTTCTCTAAAAACGAATTTTACAAATTAAAAGTGAAACTACACACCCAACGCTGGGTCTTTCCATTGTAAATAAAAATAATCTGATATAGGCATGAAATTGTCTGTCCTTTATGGCGTTTAATGCACTGTCAGCTGTCACTTATGATTATCACTTGATAGTAACATTGACGTTCGGTCTGTAAATTACATTGACATATTACCGTCCGTAAATTATATTACAATTTGTAGATTAAATATGTTTGTATCGCTGTCCATAGAATAAACACATTATTTGTTCACTGTACAGTGCTCAGGGCCTCAGCTAATTCTTTCATGTGTACTACCGAGAGGCGGGACGTAAAAAACGTATTAAATCGTACTAGGAATTGTTTATTTACTTTTTGTTCTCCATTATTTATTAAAGTTTTCACTATATACAAAACACTGACCAAGTAAAAGAAGTTTACACATAAATAACAGCAATTCAAATTATTTTCATAACAGCTAAACTATATAACAAAAATTTTAATTTAATAAGTTAAAGGTAGTGGAGTAGAAAGCATTTTAAGTGTGATCTTTTTCAACATCAGTCTGCAAAAATTCTTCATATTGCTTCTCATTCATTAGATTATTTAATTGTTCTGGTTTTGAAAGTTTAAGTTTAAATAGCCATCCTTTATCATAGTAAGAACTATTTATAAGCCCAGGTTTCTTTTCAACCTCCTTATTCTTCTCTGTAACAGTTCCACTGACTGGAGAGTATATTTCACTAGCAGCTTTAACACTTTCTAGGGCACCACACTCATCACCAGCATTTAATTGCATTCCCGGATCAGGTAACTGGGCAAACACAACATCTCCAAGAGATTCTTGAGCATATTTACTTATTCCTACTGTTCCAATATTTTCTTTGTCAACAAGCACCCATTCATGTCGGTCAGAGAACTTTTTTTCAGTATTACTACTGTATTTATAGCTGATTTTGCACAAAACCTGCCTAACACTTGATTGAAGAATAAATCGCTGTGATATCAACTGTTTTGAAACTTGATAAAGGCATCTTTGGAGTGTCATTATTTCTGAAAACAATGAAACCTTTAAAATTAAAGAATGATACTTACTTCTCTTACTATGTATGTTGTAAAAAAATATTAATAACATATAAATTATTTAAGCATGCACAACGGACCTAGTGTGAGTCTAAGTGCATAAACTGGGTCCACCAAATTATTTAAACACCTTACAGGCTATTTAATTTAAAAATCAAACATTATAATACAACACACTTAAATGAAAATTCTAAGATAAGTGTCTACTAAAATTGAGTTTTAATGCTGATAATGAAGACATGTTAAGATAATAATGAACTCTGAACTACACAAACATGATAAGGTGCAAGTCTCAACTCTCAAGACCTTAAAATATTGAAACTATCTGTGTTATCGTGAGTTGTTGACCAAACTGGAAACTGACTGTTAAAAATAATGTTTTTTCTAACATATTTTTAGAGTTTATAGATTGTGTAAAATAGATGAAATAATATAATTTTCAGTAAATATTTTTAAAATTTAAACTTGACAAATGTGTTACATAATATGAAAACAAAACATTTAATTTTATGTAATACCTACTATGATTCAATATTCGTACACAACATAAATATAATTTAATGTTGTTTAATATTCGCAAGATGCAAAAACTAACCTTATTTCTTGCCATATTTCGTTCAGAAATATCAAGAACCGAAACTTAAAACAAATATTAAATAAATTATCTTTATCATTTAGAATTTCATAGAATATTAACACATAAATAAATAATTTTAAGAAATAAATAACGTATATCATACACAATGTACTCATCACAGATTACTTTATCTGTGGATTACTTATTGGGAATATATGGCAACATAGTAATACATTTTGCCATCATATGAAACTAAGGATGTGATTTTTACTATTTCGAATGTCGATGCATGGCATGATGACAATTTTTGAATAATTATTTCAAATAAAGAGGTTAACTTGTTTATTTTTAAAGATTTTATACCTACTAAGCCTAAGATTCATGAACAAAACTTGAGCCCGGATTATAGAAAACCACAAATAAAATAATGTAAATTTCACAAATGTTTCTATTGTAAAGGAACAGAAATAAACATTGTTTTGATTGACCTGAAAGGTGCACAAATCACAATATATTATTCAAGGGTGAGGATCGCGATCCGATATTTGATACAGCGTTCGCTTCGTTTTACTCACTCTGTAGTCTGTATACCGTACAGTTTTCGTCTTTCTACATACACAATGTTAAGGCAATGAGATTGGAGCGGAGCGTCATATCTCTTTGTGTAACGTCATCCTTTTATTAATATGTCAAAAATAACGTCATTGTTCGTCTAGCCATGACTGAAAGATGTCAAAAAGAGTTTTTAAGGAAAATTCGTAATCAAAATTTTATTATTTACGCAGGAATTCTTGTTGGTTTATTGGCTGTTTTATATTATTACAGGTATTTTGACACACAATAAATATTTAAGTAAAGTTTAACTTGTAGCAATCATTTATAATACATTTTTCAGATTACACTTAATCACAATATTAGTGAGCTATGGACTGGGATGTTTGGCTTGTTATTATTGCTTAACGACAAATGTTTTACGAAACTGTGCGGAACAAATTACGTGCCATTTTATAAAAAAATCTCCAAAGAATAAGGAAGCTTCAAAGCAGGTAATAGTTTTATAAAAAATGACCTTATATTTTGCTTATTGTGGAAACCTCGATATGCAATGATTGTGACTAATTAATATATTCGGTATTTATTATCTTCAATAAATCATTAATTGTTTTTATTAACAATTAGAAAAGCTGATAAGTAAAGTACTCATTGTTTTGATTATGTCAATGTACTTATTATTAATTCAAGAAAATTAACAATTTACAGTATAAATATCATTTGACGTCGTATTTTTTTATAGGGCTGTATTACGTGTGGGTCTCGGGATTGCAATCGTCATGATCCTCAGATATCTACTGAGCCATGGAGAGGGTTACAAATACATAAACAATTGGATCAAGCCATAGAAGACGTGAGTTTTTAAATTTAATTTTAAAAGAATAATGAAAAATGTCTTCTAATAAAATATAAAAAAAATATTTAATGACTAAGGTATGTAAGATAATCTAATAATTGGTATATTTACAGTTTTACAATACAATTTTAGAACAATTCATAAATTCCTGGTATACTAAGATAACTTTACAACCATTCTTTGTGGATGAGTTAAGGTATCAGCTCAGATATGCTTCTGCCTCACTACTGAGGAGAGCTTTGAAAGTAAGTTGAAAATGCATTAATAATTTTATATTTAGTACTGGTACAAAGCAGAATGATTTCAATAAACAGTTTCTTTACATATTTTATTATATTTACAAATTAAAGTCATATAATATATTGATTGTTGTCTAATTTGTTTTTTATTTTTATTAATTACTTTGAAAACAACTTTAGAGCATAATTATTAAGAACACCAATTTACTCACTTAAGCCACAACATTTAAGTGTTTATTTTTCAGATAAATTATGCTAGATTAATATCTGAACGTCTTGTGCCATGTGCTTTGAGGCACTACAGTGTAGTAACATCAGGTGTAAGGCCGTGTCTACATGTTGCAGCCAGTAATAGAAATGCAGAGTTAAGATACTTGCGTTGTATGACAGAGGCCTTATTGCCTTATTTGGCAAGAAATAATGAAATACAGAATTCGTAAGTTGCATTGTAATTAATAATATTTCTTGACTTTTAATTCCATTATAAGTCCAATTTTAAATGTTCTATTAGTAAAGATGTTAATTATAATAAAAATTAAATTATTAGGTAAACAACAAATGAAGTACTAAAGAACTTTTCTCGGTTGCAGAGTATTTAAAGTATTAATTCGCGAAATTTTTGCTGGGTGGGTCCTTTTATCACTCACAGATGTACTGGCGGACCCATATATACTCAACACATTGATAATTTTAGCGACTGGCAACGAAACTGTGGCACCGTTGCCAGCTACACCTAATTATAAAGTGAGTAATTAGTATTATCAGGTCATAGGTGTAAGAGAAGTGGGCTTTTAATAGCCAAATTAAATTCTATTATACAAATTGTATTGTCTATGACCGCTCACATTCCTACTTCAGTTGTTCAGTCGACACTTTTTAATAAAAAAATTTTAAACCGTTTTTTTAAGTTCTTTGGGGATATTTTATAATCAATGCTTTGATTTTAATGTAAATTTTGTAATTTTAGGTAGAATTTTTAGAAACATTCGTACGTCAGACGGAGTCCGTGTACGCTAAGCGTCCGCGTTTATTGCGTATAGAGTTGGAATTACTGGTTCAAGAACCAGATCACTTTTACGCGTTCATGCAACACTTAAAGACGAGTGGGACTATACATGTGCTGCACTTCTATAAAGATATCAGTAAGGCCTATTTGATACCTAATCCGCTGCTTTGCTAGTAATTTTTATTTTATATATATGTTAGAAAAGATAGCTTGTAACATATACTGTAGATATAGCATTATAATGTTGTGAAATGTTATAAATAATTAGTAATTTGTATTAAATAAATTACGAAATGCCAAAAATATTTTTTTATAATTCGTAGAAATGTCAAAAATCTCTCCGACACTGTTTTAATGGTCCAATTTTGATACACAATGATATTCATTGATACAATCAATTGCAACAATAATTTTTACTTAAAAACATTAATATTGAGTCACCAAAATAATGTGAGATAAAAAAAACTATCAATAAAATCAATATAATAAAATTTTTTTAGTAAAAAATATTTTACTAAAAAGAAACTTCCCCTAAATTGATTTAAAAAACATTAGAATGTTGTCGTCCATATGTTTTACATTTTAATGATCAGTTATGCAAAAAATAATAACTAATGCAACATAAAATCATTTTTCAGAATCATTCCAAACAAGAATCCTAAATCCGGATTTATCCGCCAAAGAGCAAGCGCAACTTCATCTTGAGGCGAAAGAGCTGTATCTCCGGTATATTGCCGTCTCGCTCCCTTGCGTGTCTCTCCCCGATGCGTTAGAAAGAGAGCTAAAAGATTTGCTCGACACGGGCGTCGATTGTGTTAAACGGTACGTTATGGAATGATTAAATTTGTGATATTTATTAGAAGCAACACTGCTGCTTACTTGCCTATTAGATTGACATATAATCATGAAACTGATACAGACATCTGAGGCCCAGACCTAAGAAGGTTGTAGCGCCACCGATTTATTTATTTTTAGTTATTAGAACAATGGAAATCCTTTTGGGTCTAATTGTTTGACTTAGACAACGTTTTTGATGGATCAGAATTCTTGGATTTATTTGGGAATGGGGGCAAACGCCCAAAAAATGCAGTCTTCACAGCCCATGGGCACCCATTTTAATGACTTCCACAACATTGAACCCTGGCTCACTGCATTTAACAATATCTATACATCACTAGCTCAAGTTTATTGTTTACTTTTACTTACTAAATAAATTTAATAATAACATTTTAATAACATTAAAAGTTGAGCTAAAAAAATATTCCAGTGTTTATATATGAGATATTATATACTTTTTGTCCTAAATATTAATTATTTGTTGTGTGTTCTGTGTGTGTATGTTATTATTTCGTCGAAATAATATAGATTTCTTCGATCGCGTTTGCACATGTTCCTTATATGTATTTGTATTTCAGCTTACAAACGAGTCGAGCGTTGTACCAAGCGGCGCATCAGTCTCACGCGATGTTGGAGAAAGTTCTCATGCCCAAGTTTTTGCACAGCGAAGAGGTATTATATTATATTCTACTAGCTGACCCGGCAAACTTCGTTTTGCCATATATATATAGTATATTATTTCTAGGAAAAAATTTTTTAGTTCAATAAAAATATCTATCTAACTATAATAAAAAATAGGGGTTGATCGTAGAGGGGTGACAATTAAGGGTTGTATGTATTTTTGTTTGCTGTATCATAAAAAAGTAAAAACAAAAAAAATTGTCTAAAAAATAAAAATTTAGGGGTGGGTACTACCTTGACCTTTTTTCAATGTGCGCAATTAACATTCGCTCGAACGGTGAAGGAAAACATCGTGAGAAAACCGACATGTCTTAGACCCAAAAAGTCGACGGCGTGTGTCAGGCACTGGAGGCTGTTCACCTACTTGCCTATTAGATTAAAAAATGATCTTGAAACAGATTCAAAAATCTGAAATCTTTATACTGAAAAGCCGGCAACGCACCCGCTGAAATCGTGCGTCCACAGCGATAACTGCCCTTTTTGGGCGTCTCGTAGGCTCCTTTGCCTCTTATCCAATAAAAAAAAATTTTTAATTACTATTTTATAGCGTGACAATATTTGTTAATATTTCCGAATTCAATGCAAATATATTTTTGTGTAAGAAACTGGGTCTGTGGTATATTTTTTAACTGACTACAAAAAGGTGGTGGTCTGATTGAGCTATACTGTGTAGTCTGTGTATGAATGACCAAATTACATTAAAATCAGTTTAGTAGTTTTTGAAGTCTCCACGCATTGCTGGTGGGATTTACATGTATTTTATAAATATAATTTGTAAGTAATACTTTGTGCCTATTTTAGTATAGTTTTATTCTAAGAGTACAGTCTTCACATATAATTATTTAACTAATGAGAACTATTTTAAAAGAGTAAGTGTGGAGGGGCAACTAGAATCTTCTTTGTATTTTTTTTTGACGTTCAAAAGTGCCATTTTAGGTCTAATTGATATAAATGATTTGACTTGACTTGACAAAAAAAGGTATATCTTAATATATATATTTCTTCTGTGCGTGTGTATGTGACTGAACTCCTCTCAAACGACTGGACCGATTTTGATGAAATTTTTTGTGTGTGTTCAAGGGGATCTGGGAATGGTTTAGATTCACAAATCAGCCCGGCAGATGGCACTGCAGTCGGTACTTTCATACTTTGCTTAATATCCTAATCGCTTTAAATATCATGCAGGACAACGTCTGTGGGGTCCACTAGTGTATATATATATATATCAATATAATCGGTATGTTGTTAAGTTGTTCAAAACGATGTCGTCGTAAACGGTTTAGACTGTATATGATAAATGAAGACGGTTTTATCTTTATATATTTTATGAGATTCTCGACTTCTCTTCTTTGATGTACGTAATTTTTTTAAAGTGTTCATTATTTAGGTTTAAAATTGTCAATTTTGTTTCAGTTCTACAGATTATTAATTGGACCAAGAATTCCCACGGGATATCACAAGCAATTGACGAAAAGGTATATATAAATATTTGTTATCTTGATGTTTTTGTATGATCAAAAAGAGCGTACCCGCGTCAAGGGTCGGCAACGCACCCACTAAAAATTAAGTCAGTGGGCGATGACAGCCGTTTTTGGGCGTCCAATATAAAAAGACTTACACCAGTATTATAGCGATGTTTGTAGAAAGTAATGTATGAAACTATTGAAACGATTTTACAAATTAGTTTATTAATGGTGAGCTACTTAGAGCGGAGTATGTTCATCAATATAAAATTAATTTAATTTAATATGATATTTTTTATTCTGTGATGTTATGCGCCCTTTTCACCGAACTTAATAATTTTATATAACATTTTAATTTAAGATATTGGTCTGAGAAAAGCTGGCGCGTTCCCAGTACTCCCACAAATGCAATTTCACTATACAGTATGTTTAAAAATATGACTTTTTTGCCAAGCTATATATTTTAGTCTACTTTGGTTTTAGTTAGGTTGGGTGGGTTGTAAATAAATAAAAATGTATCTAATACATATAAATATTATGTGCATACGACGGTGGATCCAAAAATTCTAAGCCCGACCAAGAACGTATAAGAGTAGATATAAATAATTTTTCATTTTTCGACATAAGCTCCATCTAGCTCAACACACTTCACTAAAAATTCTTTCAATACTCCTCTTAGAAACACCAGTCGCATCTGATGTCAAATTAAAATTAAATTTTTCCATTACATTTTTTCATTAAGATGCTTAAAATAATTAAAAACATTGTACACCATTTCACGAGATTGTCCTGGTAATGTTTAGACGGAATATATTTCACAAGACATTTTTTTCAAAGTATTCTAACCTCCAACCAAATAAGTAAACAATCACAGACAAAATAATAATGAGAAAAAAGATCAACATAAACAGTAGCAAAAGCAAAACAATAACTGTCTCTTTTATACTCATAAGCTTGACCGAGCGCGAGAGAGACGGACAGTCTTTTCATGATGCATATTCAGTTTGACATGGAACCTCGCGCTTATTCACAGACACTACACAAGCACAAAGTGTAAATGTGTTGAAGCCGCCAGCTTTAGATAACATACCAATACGACCTCTTAACTATTCAAAGTTGGAGTGAACTCCCTCAAAGGCCGGCAACGCAACCACTAAAAATGGGTGTCCATGGGCTGAGATGACCTTTTTGGGCGTCTAGTAGTCTGTTTTGGCCCCCATTATTATTTAAAAAAAAAGATTTAAGAACCCGTCATTACGTCAAGTTTTTTGTTAGTGTCGCACTACCCCTAATCTTATTTTAGTTCTTCAAACAAAGAGATTGATTTATTTGAAGAAAATATTAAATTTAATGTGTAATGTTTCAGATCTCAAGAAAAATCAGTGAAACTGGGAACCAAAATCCGCAACGTACTTCGTTCGCAGAATGATGGGCAGGTTCTGGAGTCGAGCTTACCTGATGATGGACTGGAGAATGTCGATATTTTGAAGTATTTCGATTCTCTGGCTACAGAAGACGGGCTCGGAGACCAGGATCTTAGCACTTATAAGGTGGTTCTGACTAATGTTGAGACCAGACTGGTAAGTTTTGTTAATTTTTAACGCGTTTTTAGATGTAGTTGTTTAAAAAAAACCAGTGGCGCTACAACCTTTTTAGGTCTGGGCCTCAGATTTCCGTATCTGTTTTTTCTCCACCGGTCGAGCGAATGTTAATTCCGCACATAAATTGAAAGCCCATTGGTGCACAGCCAAGGATCGAACCTACGACCTCCGGGGGACACTGTAAAACCTGCGAAATTTGTTTAGTCTGATTTTTTCATACAATTTTTTTTTTTTAAATATATATTTTTTTTTTTTTTTTAAAGACAATTCACACCAATTGACCTAGTCCCATGCTAAGCTAGTGAAGCTTGTGTCATGGGTACTAGGCAACGGATATACATACATATTATAGATAGATAGACATATAAATACATATTTAAACACCCAAGACCTAAGCACAACACCAAATGCTCATCACATCGATGTTTGTCTCAACCGGGGATCGAACCCGGGACTCATGGATTCGCAGTTAGGGGTACTAACCACTAGACCAATGAGTCGTCAAATATTTGATGTATTTTTTTTAAATATTTAACATGTCTCTTTTCAACACAGCGTAAACACTATTCGATAGAAAGAGAAAATAATACTTTAGTCAGGCGAATAGGTTTAGGTTTTATCCATAAAGTTCAGTGTATCACAATTGACATGACATGTACCGAAGTATCGCCTGAATTTTGATTTGAAATAAAAAAAAAACATTTCTAGTGAGTGTGCTACATGAATTATTCAGTTCAACTTTTAAAAAAGTGATTAAAAAAATAAGTACAATTTTAGTAGTACACTAGGTTTAATTTAACTTTAATTTATGTCAAACTGTGGTAATTAATAGCGATTAAATCGGTTATTATAGCAAGCCCCACCCCGTCGCGGCCCAGTAAGAGTATTCAGAGTCGCAGTACATCAGATGAGACCGGGAGAAACTGCTAATTTCTTCACTGTAGACAGAACAGAACATGATTTCCACTTGTTGAGGAGTAAACTGCAAGAGTTTCATGGAGACAGACTGCTGGCGCATCTGCCGTTACCTTCTAGACGGTATTTACTAAACCAAATACAACTAACATTAATTATATATAGCAAAAAATTATACTAAATATATAACCGATGGATAACATAATATACAAAAAGGTTCAAACATTTACAAAAGGAAAAAATCAATAAAAGTTATTGAATACACTTAACTAAGTAATACCTATTTCGGCTGTGGTGTGTGATGGTGTAAAAGTGTGGGTATGTACGTCAATGTGTGTGTTTGGGGTGCTCATGATTCAGGTGATTTAGCGATATGGATATTCTTAATATTCATTTTAAGATTCCGCGATAGCTTAAACAAATCGAAACTAAAATAGTGGTCGTTGTATGTCCGGGCAGCGCGATACAAAGCTGAGTTTTATAGTTAGGCTCAGAAACGAGACCATTAAGTTTTTTTTTAGAACAAACAAACGGCAGCAAACGGGCAGGAGGCTCTCCTGATGTTAAGTAATACCGCCGCCCATAGACACTCAATGCCAGAGGGCTCACAAGTGCGTTGCCGGGCTTTTAAAAATTGGTACGCTCTTTTCTTAAAAGACGGTAAGTCAAATTAAAAAATACATCAGTTGGCAGCTGGCAGCATCATATCTGAGCGTTTCTTGAGGCAGGTTTTGCACCACCACTTTGTGGAACCAGCTGCCCACTGAAGTATTTCCAAAGCAATTCTACTTAGAAAAGAGCGTGCCGATTCATAAAAGTCCGGCAACGCATTCGAGAGCCTCTGGTATTGAGAGTGTCCATGGGCGGCGGTATCACGTGAGCGTCCTGCCGGTTTCCCCTGTTGTATAAAAAAAAAACTTAAAAAGTTCTTAAGGAATTATTTTTTAATTTTAGAGACAACAGCCCACTAGAAACACTAAGATACAAATATGAAGATTTCCTTCAACGAATTCTTCAAATAACACTTCTGCAAACAAGTGAATTGTTGTACCTATTCCTGACTGTGGACACGGATTTCTCGCTCGTGGTCCAGGCTTCGACTCTCAACGTGGGCACTGATTTGGGAAACATTTATCAGTCGGTCGCGCATCGGTTGAGAAAGGAAAAGGGGCAGCATTTGGAGAGTTTTTTGAGGAATTTTCTCATTTCGTCTGACAAGGAGCGTTATCAGGCGCTGTAAGTATTCTATTTTTTTTATTGTATTTAGACTGTCTGTTGCATTAGGAAATGTATTAGTTTGTAACTAAAATATCGTCAATCCATCGATATGGACATCGTAAATTGCGAGCATAAAAGACACGAATAATTGTACAATAATTGATTCTGATTGATTCCTTCTAACTCTAAGAATACACTTTAGCTTTAATTTTAAAGAGCAGAGAGTTCAGGGCACCGATCTCACTTTTAATCACAAACTACTTGACCCAACTCGGTCCAACATCTCATCACCACAACGCTCCAATGAATACTCAATCTCTTGTCGCACTGTCTAAAATCAAGATGGCGCCTCGACTCGAGGCATTCGTTCTGCTTTGATTGGTCGTAACATATTCGTACTTTTATTTGTTAATGATGGTTTAGATTCACAAATCAGCCCGGCAGATGGCGCTGCAGTCGGTGTCTAGGTTATTTATCTATACAGGAAATAAACAGCTATATATAAATGGTCTGTGCATGTGTTCGTAATTAAACTCCTAAACGGCTGAACAGATTTTGATGAAATTTTTCGAGAATGATTTACATTATTAGATATTTTTTTGTATGTAAGATGTGTGTACAGGACAATGTTTGTCGGATCTGCTAGTATTTTATATTTTCTAGCTAATTCCCCGACTATATTGTCGTCGGAGGTATTAAGTAACTTATGTATATGTATAACTACAGTAAATAGCTACCAATGCTACTAGGATGATTAAGCACTAAGCAGTTATTTCTTTTAACAATATTTTGTATAATATTTCCACCAAATTCTAGAAAGATCTAGAAAGAAAGTCTCTTAAGCCTTTGTTCAACGGTTCCTTGAAGTTCGTCTGTGTTACGTTCAATATTATTAATAAATTCTCTTTTTATAGTGCCATCTCCTTTCGAAGGTTGGCTACTTTAATTTTGAATGCTTCTAAACAACGACTGGATGTTTTTACCAAGCTATTGTCTTTGGTTTTTCAATCACAACGTGCGCCTGCGGCCAGGTCTATTTCTACCTGCCTCTTTTCCTTGTATTATTAGTTGAAGGAGCATGTATTTTTTGGTGTTACGTTAGCACGTAACGGATTCGCAATCAATAAGATTATTAATAAATTATAATAGTTATAACATATTTTCATTCCGTTGCAGAAAACAAGGCACCCGCGACGTGGAAGAGGCGCTGGAAGTGAATGAGAACGTACCGGAAGTGGTAATTCGGAAACGTAACGGGCGTAATATTAAAAACCGGACTTTTGGGAATAATTTCGATGTTCGGCCTCAACTCTCAGATCGAGATATGGTTTATCAGCAAAATGTTGTTGGGTTCACGCAATGTCTTATGTATATATGTGAGTTTAAACTTCTTAATTTTTTTTAATTTATATCCTATTATAAAACATGTATACCTATTAAATGTGCAGCAACCAATGTTCTATCTAGTCTACCTATTTTTACTAAAACACGGTAGATTGGCTCCGTGTTGTAGGAGTATTCTTGCATAACGCGCTTGTTGGACCTCATATAACGCGTTATATACAAACGATTCACGTTTAATATATTTCTTCCAAGTGGATAAAAATCGAATATTAAGTACTTTATGACCGAAATATGTGCGTACAGATCATTATAATTGCCATAGTACAGAAATATAACTTGTGAAATCCCCTGATACGAGGCACTGAAATCGCGTTATATCAAAATGCGTTATTGTTATATGCGATATTGTTTTTTAGAATTGTATTAAAACTCGATTAACTATAACAATTTTAAAATAATTTATATTTAATTATTTCAAGATGAACATTATTTAATTTCAGTGATAAAAGTAATAAAAACACGCAGCTTTTTACTGGGCGTGGTCGGGAATATACTCTCCATATCCCGTGATCTCGTGGACAGAGCATTCTGCTTTGCGCTGAATAGGAGCCTCTCGGACTTGCTCAGTGAGAGGAGGCTCGCTCATCTTATACGATTGGGGCATGGTGAGCTACTTTGTATATCATTTTTATCAAAATACCTTGGATTTAATGTAAAGTACACTCACACACTCACTCCGCTGGCTCTGTCCTCTGCTGGACCCAAAAAGAATCCTCGGCCTCCGAAATGAGATAATTCGCTGTAGTACCTTAAGTATATGGGCCGTGATCCTACTATCTACCTCATCTGATGTTAAGTAGTACCACCGCGCATAGACGCTCTCAAGGTCAGAGGGCTCGCGAGTGCGTTGCCGGCCTTTTTTATAGAACAGGGGGCAAAAAGAGAGGAGGGCTCATCTGGTGTTTAGTGATACAGCCGCCCATCGACACTCTCAATGCCAGTGGGCTCGCAAGCGCGTTGTCGGCCTTTCAGTTATAATCTATCTCTACTCTGTTCGACGTCGAGATGTGCATTAAGTTCTGGTTTAGATCTAAAAAATCGTGTCGAGGCTAAATGATACCGATCACCTACTTGATAGATTGACAAATGATCATCCAATAGATACAGAAATCTAAGGATCTAAAAAGGTTGTAGCGCCACATTATATTTAGAGTCAATATATTTCTTCAACATAAGGATGGCAGGTTAACTCAGAACAATCATAATATTGTTGCCATGATTTTGAATCTAAATAATGCTAAAATAAATAAAAATGTTATAGTTGAGTTGTTTTAGGCGAAGACTACAAAATAAAAAAAATCTTTTGCGCACTAGCGAACTGTGGAATCGACTTCCACCGGTGTCCAATTGTTCAAAGTAAGAGTATACTACTCCCTCAAAGGCTGGCAAGGCACCCGCAATATAAAAATACAAAAAAAAAGCTTTAAAATTCGATTAGACTACTTAAATGTTATGAACTGCGTCGATTTATTTTATATATATTTCATATATATCCCTTTTCAGGTATACTTTTCAGTAAGCGCACATCACCAAGGAACGACGCAGTGAAACAACGCTTCACGGCGAGATCTCGAGTCGAGGCCGCCATCTGCGCACGCGCAACCATCGCACTGGGACCAGGACTGCCTCGCGCTGCGCTCAACGCATTTGACATTTTGCAGAATCCGTTGCTTAATAAACAGGTTAAATATTATTTTATTCAAATAAAAGCTCTTATTAGAGGAGAACAGATATTTTTCTTTATATATTGATAAGAGTCGACTTAGGGGCCTTCAAGAAAAGAGGGTGCCAATTCTTGTAAGGCCGGCAACGACGGCGATATTACTTAACATCAGGTGAGCCTCTCGCCCCTTTTGCTCCTATTCCATAAAAAAAAATTAGTTCGTAGCTATTTAAAAAAAAGTGCGTGCGTCCAAAGTACACATGTCAGAAGTGTAACTTCTTTGTCAAACTAATTTTTAAGTCTTGTTCATATTTATACAAATCTAAAACTTTAGATTTCCGAGACTTAGAGGGAGGGAAAACTAAGATATGTTAGGAATTTAATTGTCATTAAAATAATAAGTGTCGAAAATTAATACAAATATAATTTTTTTAATTTATTTCTTCGATAATAAAAACATGCGGCATTTTTATTTACAATTCGAAATTTTAATTTTAAAATAGAATTTCTATAAGGTAATTCACCCTTCTCACTCTCTCTCAATCGCTCTCTCCCTTTTCTTCGACAAAAACGCTGCACATCTTCGTGACGTTCCGTAAAAAGTTTACCCTCATGCGCCTAAAGAACCTTCAATAAAAAAAACAGTGACGTGCAATCATGGACATCATCATATTGATAATATCTCTTGCTTCAGCTGGTGTACAACCTATTGGACCTGTGCGTACTGGAGCTGTTCCCCGAACTACGGAGTGAGAGCAGATGAGTGTTGAATGAATCCACCAAACCATCGTTCGGTGGATTTGTGAATTCCGCGTGAACCAAACGTATTTTATTGTAAATAAATATATTTTATTATGTATTTTTTCGAATACTCTGACGTGATTAATGTTCTGTATGAGCGAAATAAATTATTTTCATATTATCGAATATTGAGTTTTATTAATATACTACTAAGAAAGCAAGGGGAAGGAAAAGAGGGCGTTCTAAAAAAGGTAAAAGGGTAAAATTTACTTTCAAGAAGTTTCACTTCAAAAACATAGATGAGCACAAAAATTAAATAAGGGATGGAATTTATCAATTTTATCTAATTTTCTATTCTGTGAAGCGAAATCTTCTTCCAACACTAATTTAGTTTATACACTGCATATATTTTTCTATTATTCTGTTAATAAGCCCTTTTGCAAAAAAACGGCCACCTAAGGAAATATACGTTCTAAGGTCTATTTCAGTTAATTGAAGTAGTATAATTGATAAAAAATTTATATATAATATTCTTATTACTACGCACGTTTTTAATAATCAATTTAATATCTATAGCTCGTATTCTCTTTTCCATATTTTATAAATAAAAATAAAACACAGTTTGACGAATATAATTTTATTAGTGCAGAGTAAAAAATTATATAAACATAAAACTACATCACAAAATGACAAAACATGCTCCGTTGCAAATAAGTGTTAACAATTAATTGTACATATAAAAATATAAAATTGAATTACAAAATCTCTAGACTAAAATATGTATAAAAATTTAATATAACAACTAATATTTCAAATATGCATGAAAATTTAGTAGTTTTAAATAGTAGAACTTTTATATGCGATTAATTATACAATAAATAAGTCCGTCCGTCAATTAAAACCTGGCATTTGGAAAAAAAATTGAAAAATGTAAATTCTTAAAGTTTGGCGGTCTTGAGTGTTGTTCAGTGTTCAAACTCGTTTTAGTTTTAATTTCAAGAGAAAATAATAGAAGCTTCAAAGATTAAAAATAGAGTTTGAACGCTCAGTATGACTGTATGTTAATGAAATTAATTTATTTTGACACGGGAGACACAGTTCGCGCTTTCGTTTCTGAATCTTACATTTAGAGGTGGCGCTGCCGCTAGAACGCCCCACACATATATCACACCATAGAATAAGAACTAGAAATAGAAACCGTATAAAAAGTCAGACTATCTATTTGGCTCTAGACGTCACAATGTGAAACAGCTAAATGCTTAATCATCCTTTTTGATAAACAATTACAGAACAAAACATCTATCTTCTCTTTTTGCCAACAATTACGCTACGACAAACATTCTCTATCCCCTTTTTACACATAAGGTTGGCGTTAGAAAATACAGAACAGAGATGTCCCTTTGTTATTTTAACAGCTTCCATGTTTTTTTTATTCTAAGTACTTGACAGTTGACAGGCTGTATTGAATTGTTGTTTGAAGCACAAGAAACCGGGTTCGCAACCAATCAAGGCGCGAGATTTAAGGGGAAATATATTATAAAAATGGCCATCTGAATGTCAGGTTATCGGTATTTAAAATTTACATAAATGTCTAAACAACCCCTTCTCAAAGTAAAAAAATGTGGATCAAGTATTACTTTTCATATTAAAATAAGTTACAAATGACAGACGAATCCTTGGCATAACTTCGTATTAAATCGTGAATAAAAGTTCTACATCCAATAAATGAATATACGTTAGAAAAATGGTAGAAGATGGCAACACGCGGTGAACACTCAATATATTATTTCTAAATATATTCCCTATTTAAAGATTAATATTTTAACTATATTTTCTACGAGTTATAATTAACGTACACAAAGATTAAGGAACATAAGGAAGACATTGATAAATTAATCTGAGATCTGAGAGAGAAAAAGGTTCGCGTTGCGGCTGAGACTTCTTATAGTGCCATCTCCTTTCGAAGGTTGGCGATCATTTTGGCTATTTTCATTTTGGATGCTCTTCTCAACAATTACTGGTGCTTTGACCAAACCATTGTCTAAGATTATTTAGCCTAGACGTGCGTCTGCGCGAACAAAACGGAAAATCAGTTACTTAATTAAATTGTAAATTTTTGCCTCGAACGAGAGAAAATCTAAACCTCGAAAAGGTTTCCGTTCGGAAACCGTTCGTAATTAATACGAACCGTAGATATTTCTAGACAAGTCTTTTAAGTCGAAATATAGTGCAAACATCGCAACGCAAACCGCCATTACTGACTCTGAGACTTCATTAGTTATGATTAACTTAAAAATTATCAAGTTTTTATGATAATAATATATTTAAATCCACAATATCTGTAATTAATAACCGTAAATAATAACAATATATAATCTAAATATCGACAAAAACACAGTAAAAGTGGTTCTCACTTAACTAATCACCTTATAGACTAGAAATTTAACTCATTTTTAATATCGAGATCACTATATTTGTACAAATTAAGTTTTGAGTAAATTTTTAATGTAAAAAATGGTTTCTAGTATAGATTTGAATTCCGATTTTATTTAAGAAACTAACCGTATTCCGTAAACATTTCATACAAAACAAAAATTGGCACGAATATGTTTAAATTGCAATTTGTTTTGGCTTCTATTCCTGGTAAAATATATTTTGTATTTCATTATAATTACCACCTTTAGACACCCCAAAAATTATGTATATACATAATATTCGAATATTTTTTTAGGTTCCAAAAAGTATGTTCATCAACATGCACTATATGTGTGTAAGTTTGTCCATAAATTTCTGGGTAACTAAGGGTCATATCGAAATGAAATTTTTATTAAAATAGCTATATTCCTACTGGGAACAGTCAAAGTTTCATTAAAATCGGTTAAATAGTTTTTGAAATATCCAGGAATCTATATCGGTAATATTGACAGCTTGAAGTCGATTCAAATGTGGGTTTCTTTAAATTAATAACATTTCTATAAATCTTAGACAACATATTATATATTATTTATATCTTTTGCGAGGCTTTATTTGTCCATTTAACCGTAAAAGGCTTATCCAAATTGATATTAACGTCGATCTTCAACACCTTCGTCGGTTTGTCGTACGTAAAACTGGTCGAGACGTTGTTGACTGTGACGGTTTTGATGAGATTTTGAGCCAGTACTCTGATGGTGTTAATGGCGGGTACCCCATACCCCCACCATTGGATGAAGCTGCTCAATTCGTTTTCCTTTAGCTTGAATATAATATGGCTGTATTTCTCTTCTTCGTAGCTGTCTGTGAATTTATATTTACGGCTTTAACGTTCGTTACCATGGTTACGATTTGGTTACCATGGTAACCGTTTATTTCACGTTTAAGTCCGTCTTAAAATTAAGATTCTAAATAAAGATTTATGCTAATAGAAATTTAATTAGAAATAATAATGTTTTTTTAACTGTTGCTTGAAAAAACATAATTATGTATTTCTAACAATCTTTTTAAACTTGGTCACAAGTAATTTTGAATATTGGCAATTTTTATATTTAGTACACATATGTCGTCTGCAAACATGAAAATAAAGAACTTTACAATTTGTTTTAATTTCTTAACAAATAAGAATCACCTCACCTTGCCTATAGACAAGCCAAACATAGAAGTCAAGTACATAATGATTACTATATTTGAGCTTTCTGAATAAAATTTCTAACAAATTTTAATTGAAATAAAATATAAACTCACTCAAGCTATCCCCGTCATCCCAGTATAATTCGCCCCTGGCAACCCCGGCCGTATCGGGAACGAGCAGTAACTGTATGGGCAAGCTGCGAGTGTTGCCAGTAGTTACGGGACCTTTAGCTGGCGGATCTTGTAATGGAAGGATGGCACCACCCTGAAAATACCATTCTTAAAACAACCATTTATAAAGGGTGAACAAAAAATTTATAAGTTTCTTACACCATGTATATGCGTGTTATATTAATAACAAAAAAATACAATCCTGGTTTACTTTTTTATTGTCATTATTTAATACTTCAGCGTGCAACTCTCATCCCTGTGGTCGTACATTGGATCCCCAGCTGTGCACGAAACGGACATGTCACACTGAAAGAGTCGTCGGCGTGTGTCAGGCACAGAAGGCCTACTTGTCTAATATAAAAAAAAATATCAGGAAACAGATACAGTTATGACTGCTACCGCATTAACTGCTCTTGATGAAGATTCAATTTTTATGAACAACAATGCTCGCCCGCACCGTTCTTGGCCGTATTACGTCACGTAATTTTTGAAGATTATTAAACCCCCCTTGTAACGCGCCGTAACGTCTTTCTGTATCCAAGTACAGTACTGTACCCAAGTATAGTAAAACATTTCGTGACCACCAAGTGACTCTTAATACCGTTATGTGGTGTAAGTACTGGAAAGGCGAAGATAATATTAACAATAACGCGTAATTCAATCCTCGCTCTGCCTCGTGACGTTAAAAAAAAGGAACCCCCCCAAATTCGTTACGTAATACTTGAACGCTCCCTTTACGGTTTTAAAGAATTCATCCAAAATTTATGAAAACAATTGCCAGAATTCACTTTATATTATAAGTATACATACTACGTCAGACAATGTGTTTTTACTGAAATTAAAAGATATATAATATATATAAAGATTTACGGCGTTATCTATCCAATCCCCTAGTTCGAACAATATTAATAAAAAAAATATTTTTATTTTTTGCGGCAGAACTTATGGCAACATTAAGTGACAATTACCTTTACAGCGACCGTTTCCTCATCATTAATAGTCTTCCACGAGTTCAGTGCCAACTGCTTTCCAGTATTAAGATCGTACCATGGGTTCGGACCTGGATAAAACGCATTCGTTGTGTTTGCCCCCTCATCCAAAATGGCGGATATCATTATATGTTCGCCGATCATAAATTGAGTATCAATGTTGTAGACTCGCTTATCCTTTGGAAATCTGAAAAATCATCATATATATATATATTAATTTACTTAATGGTGGAGAGGTGTTCTCATACATATGTTAATTAATATAAAAATTATATTTTAATATTCATATTAGTAGCAAAGGCATGTATTTATAAGACTTAGGGCCGATTCAACCAAACAAGAGTAAATCTTAATCTTAGAATAAATCGTCAGTTAATCGAGAGTAAATCAATTTTACGTTTTACCAACTACAAATTCTAAGAATAGTGGGCTTATTCGGGAATAGCTACTATACCGCCGTTTCGCACGGAATAACAGCTATTCCTAGAATAATTTAATGGCGTCAGTCAGTCCAATCAGCTGATTTCTGTCATTTCACAAATATGTATTCTGTGTTTTAATTTCAAGTCAACGCAACGCACTAAATTAATAGTCTGGCATTGTATAATGAAACGTTTAAACAATTTATTATTTATTTATTTATTTTTAGATTTTTTATTTTCTATAATATTAGAATGAAATTCAACAAGGCTCAACAGAAGTTCCTTTTTAGACGAAAGCCTCAAACAAACAAGAAATAAAAACTTTTTGTTGACGTATGACACCTGTTAAAAGCTACTTTTTCACTCTATAATACGGCAAAATCGAGTTGACATGATGTATGCTCTTACACTGTCCCGTTGTAGAACAACATTTATTTGCCGAGTTTTATTTTCGTTCACCATTCTCTTGCTATTCGCGTATTGTTATTCCTAGTGCAATTATACTACCGATTACGTGGACAAACGACTATGGATTTACTCGAGATTAAAATCATGGAATAGATTATTCTTGGTATAGTTACTCGTGTATAAATTGAAGTTTGGTCGAATCGACCCTTAGTAGAATATTCGTAAGTGGAAATATTAGTGTTTTCGCTTAGTCTAGAAGACTATATATAAAAAATCAGACACAGAAATATATCCTAATAAACTTACTCAAAGAACAAAGGCCTAGCTACGGTGGTAGCATCAGTATGGGCTCGCCAGAACAACGTGTAATAGTACGGAAGGAGTCGATATCTCATGCGAAGGGCGCGTTTGCTGGCTTCTACCACAATTGGTCCCAAGCTCACTGGGTCTTGGGGCTAAAATGTGATTAAAATGCTTAATTATATTTCTTAATATGGGCACGGCACAAAAAAGGTTGGGTATCATTGGTCTAGTGGGTGTATCCTTACGGCCAATTAAACATATTTTATATAAAGTAAAACATCGTGAGAAACCCAAAAATCACGTGTCAGGAACAGAATGTTGATCACCTAATTGGCAATTATATACCTCCCGAATTACCATTTTATTATTATAAAACAATGTTAGGTATTGTTTAAAATAATATGACGGTTTTACATAAAAATAAAACCGATATTATGTGCCGAGAAGGAAAACATACAGCATTGTATAATGAAGAAGCAATGTATACTTAGCCATGAAGTGCGATACATACCGAGTGAAATAGTTCCTCTTAGATAGAATAGATGGCCTTAATCGCCTCAACTTCATACTTATCTTAACCAGCTAGGACGTTGTCATTTCCACAGTCATAGAGTCTTCACCAGGAAGAGCTTCCTATACATGCTGTATGTTTTCCTTCTCGGCACATAATATCGGTTTTATTTTTATGTAAAACCGTCATATTGATGTGCCTCCGGAAAACATACAGCATTGTATAATGAAGACGTGTTTGTTATCTGCTGGTGGATGCATAAAGTACAGTATAAAACACAACGCTATGATGATTATGAAGAATTAAAGTCAGGCTTTAGGTAAAGCCGTTATTGTTTATATAACAATTTTATTTACTTGCCAATATTCTTAATCAAAGCATAAGTATTTAGCAATAATTATTATTCTTAGTTACGGTATAAATATAACTATATTGATTGAGATGTACAATTAACATAATAATATAAACTTCCTATCATCACAACAAGGTATTTCTATAATTACGATGGTGCAAATGTATTGAAGAAAGAGTGATGAGTTTTCTCTACGAGAGTATCTCGCGGCAGTAATGATTAAAGAATGTATGTACTCGTATTTGAAGATTTCCAATTACCCCTGTAATAAAAAATTTCATCTTTGGTTGATTTTCGACCTAATTATTGTGCTGTTGATGGATATAAAAATATTGTTTAGATTTTTTACTTGAGATCTTCTTGTACCTTTACTCAACTTTTTTTTTTTTTACAAAAGAAGACAGTTCCACCCAATTGACCTAGTCCCATCTTCTGGTGAAGCTTGTGTTATGGGTACTTAGCAACGGATATACACATATTTAGATAGATAGACATATATTACTATTTAAACACCCAGACCTAGCCACCCAATCTCATCACATTGATGTTCGTCCCACCGGATCGAACCGGACCCATATTCCATCAGTACTACCACTAGACCATAGTCGTCAGGACTCTGAAGTCTCACTAAAGTGATATGGCATATATTTTTATCGTGGTGTTTAGAAAGTTTCCATTTGACTGCGTCTTAGTGTCTGTCTTGATCCGAATACCGGTGTTAATAATGTCACCCCATCATCCACAATTACTCGTCATAATTTCAAATAAAGTGAAACCCCCATGCTAAATGCAATACTGTGGCTGTTCTGCGAGCCGTATCGAATAAAGTGTCCCTAGGAGGGTTGGAAGAAAGCCATTATACTATTCGCGGGTCCCACGTGACGGATGATTTCACGGCTTTTGGTTTAGCTACTTTTAATACCCTAGGGTGTATTTAATAATACAATTTGATAATGTTTTTTGTTCTACATGGGGACCCAAGATAACGCCATTTGCGAACAAGAATGGTTGAATAGGATAAATTCTCTTTTAGAAAAAGTGATATTAAATTTTTAAGTGGACAAGTGGAGTGACCCAACTCTTCAAAAGTAGATCTTTTTCCTTGTGGACCATCTTTTATTTGGGCACCCCACCCCAATTTCCCAAACTTTTAGGGTCAATCTTGTATTTGTGGAGGAGGCAGTCAGTTGTCGTCCGGAGTGTCCCCGATAGGTGTTGAATTTCGTGGGGGTGATCTAGACTATTTCGGTCCTCAGAAAGAAACCTCCCCAATCTACCTATCATAGGTTCCCGTCGCCCGGTTCAGGTGTGCTAAACTCAGTTAACAGACTTGGAGGGGGAACACCCATGCTAGAGGAAGAAGGTGCCACTCGCAGCCTTTTTTTTTCCCTTTATAATCTGTCTGCTATGATCACCCTGGTAGGTATGTACCGACAGAGTTATGTTGAATTTGTCCGTCAGGTGCAATAGTTTGAAGGTTAGTGTAATCCCTATCGGTTTCGTTTCACCTTCTTTTTGAATGTATGCAATAGTTTCATTTGTCCGATTGTATTAACACTGTGTGTTTTGTAATATTTTTTACATTTATTTTTATTGCGGCTATCACTGCATGTAGTTCCCTTTTGTTGCAGTCCACGTTTTCTATTGGTATGACCATTTTCCTGACAAGGTTTCCGTCTAGATGTTTACCCCCAACCCCAATCCGAGGCGTCCGTCGCCTAGGAAGTGGGTTGCAGGTTCTTTGTGTATAGGCGTCGTCTGATGAGTAGCTCCACCCCACATCTGTTCCTGCCCTACAATCTGAGCAGCAGTTGACATCGACGAGGTCGGATCTTGTTAATTGTCGCAAAAATCTGTACCTACGACAATGAAGCCTCCCTTTGGGGCACGAAAATGTTTGCGAACTTACTTGTCCTAGCAGACATTGTCACTCCAATCAACGCATAACTATGGTTTATGCGCTTATTTTCCTTCTTTAGCGACATCACATTGACCGAAGTATTCCAGCGAATTCCAAGGTATTCTAAATTTTGGGTTGGTACCAATACGGAATTTTGGTAATTGATTTATCAACCTAGGTGTTCCAGTGTCTCACGGCCTCCGCGGCCTGAGAATGTAACTTGAAGGTGTTCCAAGTGTCGCCCGGCCTCCGCGGCCTCGAGAATCTAACTTGGAAGGTGTTCCATGTGTCTTCCGGCCTCCGCGGCCTGAGAATCTAACTTGGAAGGTGTTCCAAGTGTCTCCCGGCCTCCGCGGTCTAAGAATTTAACTTAAAAGGTGTTCCAGTGTCTCACGGCCTCCGCGGCCTGAGAATTTAACTTGGAGTCGTCTTGGGTTGACCAGAAGGTAGTCGTCTAGGAAGACTAGCACTCGACATCCCTTCGCACGTAAGGTCTCCGCACCCAACATGATACCGCAGAGAAAAGGTGTGGTGCTGACGCTGCCAAGGAACGCTAAGGAGGCGTCATATTTTCGCTCATAACTGCCCGTTTTAACTGCGCCTTAATAAACCTAATTAAATCGTCGGTGTGATCTCGCTGCCGGTAGATGGAAATAGGCTTGTGATAAATCTATTTATCATCCAGTCCCCTGGTTGAAGAAAGTCTGGGACTAAGCCGTGGGAGATCAACCGAAAATGTTTTGTCTTCACGAATCGGTTTAGTTCTCGCAAATCTACAATAGGACGCATCGTGCCGTCGCTTTTCCTGCGAAGAGCCATTTTGGATATAAAGTGAGTGTTTTGTTGAGAACTGTTTGTAGGATACCTTGCTTGATTCAGGAGTTTTTTGATTATCTGCGATGTGATACGAATAGATACGCAGGTGACGGTTCGGTTGCATATTCACTTACTATTCGATTTGTTGGCATTAACAAAGGCGGTTTCTTGTACAGAGGTTGCGGACCTTGAATTGTGTTGGATAGTAATTTTTTACCGTCATTGTTAGATAACGGGTAGTTTGATTTTCCTGTTCAACGTTCGCATCGTTTCTTGTTTTATGTAGGTATTACGAAAATTATTTTTTTCCATTTTGTGTCTGGTGTCTTTATTTGGATGTAGATACTGACGATTCTTTGTAACTAGGTTTAAAAAGCTCTCTTACTCTTGAAGGTTGCGGCGGAGATAACCAAATTGGGCCCACCAAGTGATTGTTGAGGGACGCGCAGCTTATTTTTGTCAAATAAAAATTCCTTGCTATAGGAGGTATATTACTAAGCACATTTGATACTTTTGTCCGAAATCTCACTTATTTAATCTTTTACGCGTATTTCTATACATTCCGCTCGTTTTCCCATACAATTTGCAGGGTTTGTTCATGCAATTTGTGAGAAGGTGATTCATTACCAAAAATATAGGATATTTTTGTCAAAAGATTAGCGGGTTTTAATCCAGATTGTAGTAATTCCCTTTGACATAAGACAACGTATTACGTCTTTAATTTTGAGGTTACAAAAGCCTAGACGTCACTGTCTGCCAGGGCTTTTTAGATCTAATATGTTACCACATGGGAGTATTAAAATGTTGGAGTTTTATAAGCTCAATATATTATTATATTTTTATAATTTTTTATATATTTATTTTGTAATATTTTTCCCGGTCGACGGATTAATAAAAAATCGCTATAGTAGTTGGTCGGCCGGTGGGTACCCTCGTCATTGGACGCACTGGCGTTGACATTTGGTACATATTGTTGATGCATTATAAAATTTGTGAGGAAACTCACCTGATTATATAACGCGTCGATCATGGATCGACCGTTACCTGTGCTACTCGTTTCCTTTTTCTTTCGTGGCGGTCCCTCCCCCGAGTCGCTTACAGACGCGCCGCTGGTGCACGTGGAGTCCTCTTTGTCTTGTTCGTGACCTTGCTCGACACTTATTTAGACTACCTGCCTGATTGGCCCCGGCGGCGGCCTTATCGGCATCGTGAGTCTATTACGCACTTGTAATGTATAAATAATACGTTTTGCTAATAATTAACACTAAGAAAGACCATAAGGTTTTAAGTCGTTATTGAGTCGTTTCGGTTTCGACCGCACGCGGCGAAAGTACACAACGCTATGACTGTGGAAATGACAACGTCCTAGCTGGTTAAGATAAGTATGAAGTTGAGGCGATTACAGCGCCATCTATTCTATCTAAGAGGAACTATTTCACTCGGTATGTATCGCACTTCATGGCTAAGTATACATTGCTTCTTCATTATACAATGCTGTATGTTTTCCGGAGGCACATCAATATATGATTATATGATTCGACAATTCACACCAATTGACCTAGTCCCATGCTAAGCTGGTGAAGCTTGTGTTATGGGTACTAGGCAACGGATATACATTATACATACATATTATAGATAAATATACATATAAATACATATTTAAACACCCAAGACCTAAGCACAACACCAAATGCTCATCACATCGATGTTTGTCTCAGCCGGGGATTGAACCCGGGACCCATGGATTCGCAGTCAGGGGGGGGTACTAACCACTAGACCAATGAGCCGTCAAATAAATAATAAAATTATGTTTATATGTTTACCTAGTTTCTTATCTGAATCATGGGTAAATTTTATTAATTTGCAACACTAAAGCGATGCTGGCGATACCACTCAGTTGACAGATAAGTTGGTGGGACTATACCTTCGACGTATCACTATTATGATTCCTGGAGAAGGGATAAAATGCGCCCAGCTGCATCCATCGCTTGCAGAGCTCTGGAGTCGTGTCCCCAATGAATCCGCAAATATCTGACCCCATTAGGGGAACACCGAAGAGACTGAAGCTTAGCAGTTCTGAAAATATTAACCAAGATTTTTACAATTGGATATTAATGATGTTTAATATTGTTAAATTTAAAGGTTACATAAATTTTAATTAAATATAAATGGACACTTTAGCACAGACAATGTTCGATTCAAATTCAAGTTAAGTCAAATCATTTATTCCAATTAGACCATCTAAACTGGCACTTTTAAACGTCAAATCTTAATATATGAAGTACATATCACGTTGTTTGTCCGCTATGGACTCCTAAACTACTTAACCGATATCAATCAAATTTGCACACCGTGTGTAGTTTGATCCAACTTAAAAGATAGGATAGCTTAAATCTCAATTTATACCCGCAATATTATTTTATTGCAAAATATTTCTTTATAATTTGATAGTCACAATTCTAACGGATGGCGCTGTGTTGAAAGTACCAACGTTTCAAATAAGCTACAATTTAATGGCAAAACCACTGGTGTTCTCCTACCGTTTCCCTTGAATAGGTTACTACTATGTAATTGACGACTCATTGGTCTAGCGGTTAGTACCCCTGACTGCGAATCCATGGGTCCCGGGTTCGATCCCCGGCTGAGACGAACATCGATGTGACGAGCATTTGGTGTTGTGCTTAGGTCTTGGGTGTTTAAATATGTATTTATATGTCTATCTATCTATAATATGTATGTATATCCGTTGCCTAGTACCCATAACACAAGCTTCACCAGCTTAGCATGGGACTAGGTCAATTGGTGTGTATTGTCTTTAAAAAAAAAACAAAAAAAACTAAAAACCTTAGCCACAGCAACGCTTGGTCGTCTCTAGTTCGGTCTGCTAGTAAAATATAAATATGATTCTAGTTGCCCCCTTCCAAAAGGTAGTTTCGTATGGAGAAGAATGGGCAAGAAACTCTTACTCTTTTAAAGTAGGTTTGACAATATTTTGTATACATTAGTTAAAGAATATGTGAAGACAATGTACTCCTAGAATAAAACTATACTAAAATAGGCACAAAATACTTACAAATTAAGCAATGTTCCTCACATATTTACAAATATTGAAACCGTAGAATATTAAACATTAAAGAGTAATAAAAAAAACAATAAAACAGTGTGTGAGATAAATAATTCAGTTTGTGTTATTATAAAATTAAAAATAAACAGAAATGTATATAATTTGATCAGCAACCAATTTGATTTTGTCCAGGCTCTATGATTGTCCTATGGAACAGGAAAAGCATGAAAATGAATTCGAAAAGAATTTGGTTTCCCAGGATTTGATTATTGCATACCCTCACTTATTTTATGTATTTTTCGTCTCTTTCTGTCAAGTAATGTTTACGCTGTCATGAAAAGGGACTTACTATTAAAATTACTACCAATCCCAAAGATAAAACAAATCACATACGTGGTATAGAAGCCTTGAGGTCATGCCATTTGCTGAAAACGTCCCCGCTCCAATGTC